AAATCTAACCTTCCTGCATCAAACAAATGTGACTTGAAATTTTGGAAATACATATAAGATGTTTGTGAAACACCTAGTAAACAAGAAAAGTTTGGTACTCTCTTGCTAATTTCAAATAATATATTGTAGTCCTACAAATAATCTAACATTCTTCATTTTTCTTATAAACCATTTTTCCTATAATACCAACCAAAAAACTGAAAGGGAAACATCTGACCTAAAAGCTACTCAACATGTTTTCCATAATCTATGAACATTCAAATTATGCAAATTGTGCACTAAACCAAAATATCTCCTTTCTGATAAGAAACCTTTTTGGTTTTTATCTTCCAGATGGGGGGCCAATTTAGTATGCTCAATACAAGTATCTGAAAGTGGAGAGCCTGGGATAATAATTTACTGACTATATCTTGAGCCTGGTACAGAATAGGCTCTCTACCTGGTGAATGTCGGACAGCAACCTAACTCTTAATCCTTGCAATTTAGCATGAGCTGAGAGATAATCAGAAATTCAAACTGTCAGGTCCAACTGGGGACTTACAAAGTCAGATCCTTTTATGATTCAAGTACAAAAGAAATTTAGAGAAGCGGGGCTAGAAAGCACTTTTACATTGTATTCTAAGATGTCACCCACATGTCACCCACTATAATTATTTTTAAAAAAACCACTCCATTACTCTTCTGTAACTTGCAAAAGTTAAAATTATTATTAATAAGAGGTACAGTATTATTTGGGATAAAAATGTCTTCCTTTCTCACCTCACCTTATCAAAGGCAGTGCCAACTAAGGCCCAAGGTTGTGGAAGACTGCCATCTAGTGGTGGTTCATTCTAATGGCCATATAAAATAAACCACTGCCTCAGTAGTTGACACATTTGTTTGGAACAGTACCAGGATGGAGCTGCAAGGGATTATGCTAAGTGAAATAAGTCAGAAGAAAAAGGATAAATGTCAGGTTTAATTTATATGCAGAATACAGAAAAACCAAGCAAAGTTCAAGAAAAAGACAAAACTTGCAAGTGAACCACAGATCTGAGGTATAACAGCATCAGAGGGCTAAAAGAGGTTAGTTCAAAACAGGGGAGAGAAGGGAACAAGAGATTGTGGGGATGAGTCACGGCTGCTGTGGTGGTGGCAGAACTAAGAGGACTACACCTGAAGGGAGAAATCAAACACAGTCCAAAAATTAACAGCAGTGTAAGAAAATTAATTAAGAGCAGAGTACCACGTTTTCTTTTTGCTTAATTCCTTTTGTGATCCCACTGACATGATTGTCCAACTTATTAATTTCATAACAAGTCACCAAAATACCAAAGGAAGTAGGATTTTTAAGTAGGCTTTCTTAACTCAGGATTTTTTACTTTCTCTATTAAATTCAAATCAAGTCTAAGTTTTCAAATTAAAACTTTGATCTGCTCACCCATGTAAAGTCTAGAAACTTCAGCCTTAAAAAATAGGGGCCCTACCTGGTGGTACAGTAGGTTAAAGCACAGCACTAATAAGCCAAAGCCACCCCAGCATGAGTTTGATCCTCACCCTGAAGGTGATCCACTTGGCATGGCAGACCTCTCCTGACCCGCCCTCAGCTCCCCTCAGCAGTGTACTTCATCAATCTGCTTGTTCTGCCCCCCACTCTGTCTCTGGTGAATCCTCTCATGCCCTGCACCTCTGGCTTGGATCCCAGTTCTGTATGCATAAATAAATAAATCTTTAAAAGAAATATCTCTCTTTTGAAATGTGCACATCTTAGGTTGAATTCTACTTGCTTCTTCCTAAGATCTATTTTTTTTTTCATCATCATTTTATATTCAGGATGTGGGGGGGAAGCTACTTTCAAATTGAGAAAAAATATTTCATAACCACTTGACTCAATAATTCTACTTCTTTTTCGATCTTAAGGAAATAACCATCAATAAGGACAAAGATTAATGTTCAAAGATGTTCATTTCAGCAAATAAAACTTATATCTTGATAACAACCTGCTAACATATGCAGTAAAATTTACTTGGCCACTCTCCTTACTACTTACTAAAATCACTTCTGATTTTCCTATATTACAGATAAATATGTGTGCATACACAAGAGGAGGAAGGAAAGACAGAGAGTAATTAAATAAATATAAGACAAGTCAACACAACTTTTCCATAATTTGGATTTTTTACTAATACACATTCCCATAAGTCATATTTCAGCACTCAAGAACATTTCATGGTTCTTAACAGTCAACTTGCTTCCTAAGAGTACTGCGCTATTTAACATGACCACAGCAGTTAGGCTGGAAGGCTGCGCTTTCACCTCCTTGTTATCACATTCTATCCCATAGCCAATTTTTGTAATAACTTTACTGCAATAGAGCTTATATAACATCCCAGTGAAATATATAATTCAAGTATAATTCATGTATTATTTATAGAGCTGTGCAATTATCTGATGTTAGACCATTTTCATCATCTCCAAAAGAAACCTTGTGTCCATTATATGTAGTAATTCACCATCCACCCTGACAACCCTAATGTAGCTAATTTTACTGTTTTACTATTATTTCATGTTTTCCTATAGCTGCCCCAATGATGTTACATAAGTGTTTCAAACCCATGAAATAGAATAATTCCTTCTGTTAATCTTTTTCAAACTGGAAATACTCTGCTTAACTACAAGAAAGTAAAATATTTCAGAATGTCCTCTTGTTTTTGCAGTACATACTTTTTTTTTTTTTAAAGATTTATTTATTTGTGCATACAGAACGGGGGTACAGGCCAGAGGCTCAGGGGCGGTGAGAGGCTTCACCAGAGACAGAGTGGGGAGCAGAACAGGCAGATCAACAAAGTACACTGCTGAGGGGAGCAGCGGGCGGGTCAGGAGAGGTCTGCTGCGCCATGTGGTCACCTCCGGGGCAGGCGGGAATCGAACTCATGCAGAAGCGGCTTTAGATTCTCAGTGCTGTGCTTTAACCCGCTGCGCCACCAGGGAGGGCCACAGTACATACTTTTTAAGTGCAATGTACAATTTAAGAACTAAGAAAAGATATGTAAGTACAACATTATCCGTTCTTTTCAAAACTAGTAGCAACTATCATTATTTGAAGCCCCACCAAAAAAAAAATGTCACTTCAAGAAATTTCTTTCATTTAAAGTTTTACTTCAATTTGGTTATGTTAGTGAAACAATAAAATTAGAAGTACAGTATAATCTATATAACATTCAATGTGAAATCTAAAGAATTATCTTGATGCCACCAAAAAAAAAAACCTTAATTTGATATAACCAAATAGTTCTTTATATAGTTTTGGGGATTCCAGATGTATACAACTTAGCAATTTAATTTAAGGAATTTAGCAGGAGAAAGAAAAATTTAAAGAGTTAAGAAGCTTCAGTTCGGCCCTCCCTGGTGGCGCAGCGGGTTAAAGCACTGCACAAAGAAGCTTAAGCCACTTCCGCATGAGTTTGATTCCCGCCTGCCCCCGGAGGAGACCACATGGCGTGGCAGACCTCTCCTGACCCGCCCGCTGCTCCCCTCAGCAGTGTACTTCGTCGATCTGCCTGTTCTGCACCCCACTCTGTCTCTGGTGAATCCTCTCACCCTCCGTATCTCTGGCCTGTACCCCAGTTCTGTATGAATAAATAAATAAATCTTAAAAAAATAATAAAAATAAAAAAGAAGAAGAAGCTTCAGTTCTCCAATCAAATCAGATACTTTTTCAAAAAAGGTGAAAATCCTTTCCAACAAATGGGGCTGGGAGGGACACTTCCCTGATAGAAGTCAGTCTCTCATCAAATCTCAGCTCACTCTACTCTTAAGCTAACTCCAGACATCTCTCATTTTTCTCAAATAATCCAAACATCCTGTTATTCAAGTTGAGCAATGTTGTGATCCAGCCAAGTGTTTTGCCTAATATCATTTCAATTACGCAAAACATTTCTTTGCACATTACCACCCAAAATATTCTTGAATGCTAATTAGCATGCTCAAATTCATCCATTCCTTGCTTTTCACATCTACATATGAAAAAACTGAGTTCACAGAGTCTCTTATTATGTCACTAATGAAAAATCTAACCTAGGTTGCCTACTTTTTATTAATACAATAGCTAAACAACAAATTCATAAAAGCATGAGCCCAGAGAGAGCTAAAATATTATAAAAACCCCAGTTACATGCTTACATGGGCACAAAACCACACAGAGCAGTATCACTATTTGGCTTCCTGCCCATTCAGCACCAGCAGCTCCTCTAGCATGGTGAAGTGAGAGAAACTATTTTGTAATAAGCAGTCGCACACCAACAGCAACAGTGTACACAAGTAGTCGCACACCAACAGCAACAGTGTACACAAGTAGGAACATCTGCCTGCTGACTCTAGAAATTCTGGAACCAAGGTGGACCCATTGCAGGTAGCCCTTCTGCTAACTAGAAAAAGGTACCCTCATGTGAGAGGAAGAAGCCCAACTAAGCCAGTTCTCAGTCAAGGTGACACCTTGGTTAGATTCAGAAAAGGTAAACCCTTCCACTGGGGAGATGCAGTCCAGACTAGGGAAAACGATTTGATGAGCAAGATCACGTCTGCATTGCTGAGTCCACCTGCCCCTGACTCAGATGCCCTAGAGTGGACCCAAACTGCACCGCTGTAAGCAGTGGTCCTGGAGGCAAGGGGAGGTGGACAGAGACCTGCAGCCTCATCCTCCCTATAGCAGGCAGCACAGGGAGCCTTGTCAAGGAGATACACTGTTTCTTTAACCAAGAGAGGCAGACACCTATTTCTACCACTCAAAAGTTCAATGTGAGTCAGCTCTTATATAAAGATAAAATTTGAAGAAAAGGCTATTGTAGAAATAGAAAACACATTTACGGTTTAAAGTTTACTATTTTTGTTATTTTGCCCATGTACTGAACACGAAGATCTTAGATGTGTTTAACTCTGCGCGTCATACCAGAAAATTCTCTATTTTACATGGCCAGGCAGTTGCCACCTGGTAGTGGTACTCACAATTAAACGTAAATTACCTTTTACACCACCAAACGATCCATAAGTCATATTGCAGGCTGTTCTCTGAAGGTTATGCTCATACATCAATTTGATCTGATACTGGTTCCCATGTTCCACATTACCCAAGGTTCCTAAGGAGAAGAAAATAATGAGTCTTTTTTGCATTTGTTTTTAATATTTAAAAATGTTAATTTGGGGGCCTCGCCTCGTGGCACAACTGGTTAAAGCACCTCATTATGAAGTTCTCCTCCGCCACTGCAGCACGAGTTAGATCCCTGGTCAGGAAGGGGATCCACATGGCACAGCAGACCTCTCCTGACCCACCTGCTGCTCCCCTCAACAGTGTATTTCAGTATATCTGCCTGCTCTGTTCCCCACTCTGCCTATGGCAAAATCTCACACACACACACACACACACACACACACACATACACACACACACCTTGCACCTCTGGCCTGTACTCTAGTTCTTGTATGCATAAATAAATAAATCTTTTTTTAAAATGGTTAATGTTTTCTCATTCTCTACCCCAATTCTAAGTAATTCAATTTCAGAGAAATATTAAATGACAAAGCATTAAATATTATGTATGATGAACAATTAGCATAATGATGATACATACAGAATACCAGCAAAGCTACAATAGTTGAAGTCTCAACTGGATTATACTATTAGATGAAAGACTACCTTCATGACAATTGATTACCTATTTTCATTATGTCTCAGTAATGCATAGTTATTTAAATAATGGTATAACCCTGCAATTTCATTCTGAAGTAAATTAAGTCAAGCTCCTTGCACTTGTAAATACTAACAGAGCAAATAAATGATAAAAAATATCTAAGAAAAAGTTTCCTAAATTTTCAAGTAATTCAATTGTCTGTCCTAACTTAAGCCCTCATACGTTATATTCTAATTTAATAAAGGGAAAATTTGAAGCTTCCCTCACAAAATAAGTAGCATAATATATTTCACTTGACTCTGCCGAAAAGACTCTCCTGCAAAATAAATGAACCAAAAAAGGTTTATCTGCATTTCATAGATCATATTTCCTGTAACCATTTTTGAGGTTTTTCCAAATGAGAGATTCTTTTTTCTTTTTTTCAATGCATACAGAACTGGGGTATAGGCCAGACGTACAGGCGTGGTGAGAAGATTCACCAGAGATAGAGTAGGGAGCAGAACAGGCAGATCAATGAAGTACACTGCTGAGGGGAGCAGCGGGCAGGTCAGGAGAGGTCTGTCACGCCATGTGAATCACCTCCAGGGCCGGGGATTGAACTCACACTGAAGCTGCTGTGGCCAGCTTGCAGTGCTACGCTCTTACCCATTGTGCCACCAGGGAGAGCCAAGAGAAGATTCTTTATCCACATTTTACACTCTGATGTCAGACTTTCAAGAATATTTACAGCTGGAGTTCTAGCCTGGTGAGCAAGGAAGAGCATTATGATTTAAAAGGGCGTTCAAAAGAAAGCAGATTCAGAAAGCAAGTCTTTCCATTAAGAGGTATCTTTATCATTCATTCAAACACACAAAAATTAAAGAAAAATCTGAAATACTATATTATAAAGTAAATGAAATGTTCCCCATACTAAGTAGTATTAGATCAAGAAAACAATATATATGTCTCTATGTGTATCTGTATTTATCAGAGAACATTTTTTGGTCCATAAGAATTTGCCAATAATCACAAAGGTTGTAAAAATAGACATATTTTGATTTCCATGTTAAAACTGTGGTACCTTAACTTCAAAAAATATTAAGAAATTTCTCCCCTAATCACATAACTGGTAAAGAACATGGTATTCGAACTACAATGAGTCTTTATAGCTAGCGCTATATATTCTGGCATGTGTGCCCATCATTTAAGAACTTTCAGGAAACCTTCTAAGTCAATGACAATTTCTTAAGAGAAAGCAGCATTGAGGATATGTCATTTCCACCTCAGCCTGGGCTTCTCTTCCTCATTCAGAAGGTGGAAGGTTAAAAAGGAAAAATGGAAAGTTTTTTTGGAAGATAATCACATCTACTTAGATCTATGTCCCTGAATGCTAACAACAGATTTCACAGTGCGGGAGATTGCTTTTAAAAAGTCACCTCAAATCTTTCTAGAAGCACACATATAAAAAAAAAATATTTAGGGAGAGGGCAATTGAGGGTAAAAATGTCAAGTTCAGCTAACACTTTCATCTGCTGACACTAGTGGTTTCACTTAAAACCAAAAAATGTTTACGCTTTCCCTGTTACAGTAAAAGCTAGGTAAAAGTTCAGTCTGGAACCTCAAGAAATATATTCAAGAGAACAAAAACATTAACTTTCCATGCTTCTCAATTTAAGCCAAGCCAGGAAAAATACACAAATTGTCAGCCTTCAAATATCACACGAACTGAAGAAATGAGAGACAGAACTGGGAAGTGGGGTGGGGTAAAAGGGAATGTAGTTTGGGCAACTTCTCATCCCCTGAGAATAAAAGCTTTTAAATGAATACAAAAAAATAAAACCGATAAAATCACCATTCCATGACAAATAACTCTTTTTCAACACTAACTTGAAGGAGAATACCAATGTCCTACAAACAAGTTGTGACCAATCATGCCATTTTATGCTAGTCAGTTTTTTTTTTATCCCAAGGCCCCAGCAGAATTCTAGAGGTTTCTGCTGCCTGAGCTATTGTTCAAACAGGATGAGAAAAGGCCAAAATTCTAACTTAATATCTATAGTTTTGAAGACACCGCCCTCTTCTGCCCATTTAGAGCCCCCATAAAGGCTCCCGAAAGAACCAGTTCTCCAGGAAGCATTCAACAGTAACATTGGGCAAGTTCCTCCTCCATGGTCTATGCAACCCAGTTCATAAAAATAATCACTTGCAAGTAACAGCTTATATTAGGAAGCAGAACAACTAGATGCGTGCAGGAAGGTAGCCTAATCATGCCCTCTCCATGGAAGATTAAATATTTGCCCTATCATTAGAGGAACATCTTTCACCATTAAAGTGTCTTAACAATGAGCCTCTGATGTAAATAGGTGGAAAAGACAATAGGAATAACAGAGGAAGAAAACAATGCATGATTGATAGTAATAATTGGCTCAGCACTACCCAGAAATGTATTCACTCATTCATTGCAGTATGTTTACCATATCCCATATGTCAAGTTACCAAATCTGCCCTACAAACCTAATAGAACCCTCACCCCCAAAAGAGACTAACTAACATTATCTAGCCTGTGGTAGTTAATACAAATCATTACTCAAATTGAAAACAAGATGTATAGAAAGTCTAAGTCAAGGTAATGAGTGTGAGAAATCCAACTTGTAGAAGCTAGTATTTACAACAAACCCCAAAGGAGATAATCTTGTATATAAGAGACAACCCACAGTACTTAGTTTTATTATACCCATAAAAAATTTCTCCAATATGATATCCATAAAAGTAAATCTCTCAACTTGAACGAAAACATAAATAACTGAAACAAAAATTTTTAAATCACCTTTTATCTTAAATAAGAACAAAAATGCTGAAACCAAACCACAATTAACAGCATACTTGTACCCACAGAACCGTGTCAGAGAATGGAAGCCTGATGAAGCTTGCGATCTGGCTGAGTGAAGATAACCAAAAGCCAAGAAACTTAAACTGTGAAGAGAAAACACTTGAGGTTCACCAAAGAAAATGTACTTTAAACCACTATGACTCAGGATCTAATGAATTCTGTTCTTGCTATTGAACATTTCTTAAGACAGAAGTGTCCTCAGAATCCAGAACTGACCTCTAGTAGTCATAAATAATCCTGGACACAATTCCTGGGAGGAAGGAGATCAGAAGAAGCAGTCCACCAGAAATCTGTTAGCGTGAAATGGCAGACCCAAGAAAACCTAACAACCGAAGTATGTGAGTGAATCAGTGAACAACAGGAAGATGTTAACCAAGATAAGAAAACTTGCAACCAAGCTTTTTGTATTCCCAACATGTCAACATCAAACACGTTCGTATTTATTAGTAGCTATTCTTATATAAGATGAAGAAGCCAGTTTCTAATACAAATTCTACATTAGAAAAAGTTATTTCTTACCTGAGACAGAGTAGACACAAAGTTTTCTAGAGTGCAACACAGCCAAATGAAGCATTTCAGTACCTCTGCAAAATAGAGAAAGTTTTAAAAGTCTAAGTATCAATCAGTTTCAGATGTAACCAAAAATTTGAAAATAATTTTTTAAAAAGTTATGACTGCAGTCTACCATGAATAAACTAAACAATTCACTATATAACTTTCTAAACTGAAAAATAAATATAGCCACAAATAGTCAGTTTGACAATCCCAGGGGTACAAGAACTTTGCCTCAAGGAGCTTCCTTCAACATGAAGCCAAGAAAACCTCCCAGAAAAAGTCATAAGAGAGGCTCCATTGGGACTGCTCTCCAACAATAAAGAAAGCCAAGATGTGGTCCTGGCTTTCTGACGAAGTAACCCTTGACCTTGGCAAGTCACATAATATCTCTGAGCTTGTTCCCCCTTCTGGGAAATAAGAGGTTTCAATTGAATGAAATAAAAATCAAATAATAAAGAAAAAATGAAAAATAAATGAAAAGCAAGTGAAACACCTTGTAAAATACCAAGTATAAAATGTTCATCATCATTAGTAAATGGAATGTATCAATTTCAGTTTGAAACTTTATTAAAGGTATTAAAAATACTTCAGCCTGAACGAAATCTCAAATGGAAATAAACTGCCATTGTCACGACTACACTTTTAGTTCCTGTCATGTGGTTTCCAGAAACATGGCACAGTCCAGAAATGTTAAATTCAAAGTCTTCAAAGGTCAAGTGAGAGGGTATAATTGAGTAAAGGGTATATACATGGCTGTAAATCAGCGAGACTGGGGCTAGACCGAAGGAGACAGCTACGACTCAGTTCTGGGCTTATGGCCAGAGAGCCACACTTTTTCAAGAGAAACCAGAAAGCAGGGACTTTATGTGAAATCTCTGGTTCTTAAATGTTGGCAACTTTTACATTTAAAGCACATCTTCAAGCAGGTCTCCAGTGTACAACTCTGCCTAAACTAGGTCATAATTTAAGTCTGGAGACTTGGTTTGCAATCTTAACTTCTGCACCTCAACTCTGAGTGATCATTTCATCTTTCAGAATATTAGCTTGTCCTTCACAAAGAATTATACAACACCTGAAAAACTGTTACAATCAGTATATATTCACCACTCACTCTACTACCCAAAAAAGCAAGTATACATTGCTCACACAGAATCAGTAATACCTGCAAAAACAATTTTATGTGTATCCTGAACAAGCAAAACAATTTTTTCAAGTATGGGGGGAAAAAATGATCACTAAAAGATTGTAAATTATAAAGTTAGGCAGACCTGGGTTTGAATCCTGGCTGTCTGATCTTAAGCTTTCAGCTCTATTTAATTTCCTGATTTCTAAATACAAAACACATCATATAAGATCTTATACTACTGATTAACACCTGTATTTTAACTGTTAGTTAGTAACATTAACTCATTAATGTTAACCTCTTCCCTTCCAACAAGTGATCTCATTGATGAAAGTCACTTAGGACTACTGTATAAGATAACTAAGATGACTATGACAGTATGTCACTTTTTTTTAAAGATTTTTTTATTTATTCATACAGAACTGGGGTACAGGCCAGAGGAGTGGTGGGTGAGAGGATTCACCAGAGTGGGGAGCAGAACAGGCAGACTGACAAAGTACACTGCTGAAGGGTGCAGCAGACTGATCAGAAGAGGTCTGCCACATCATGTGGGTCAGCTGGGGATCGAACTCATGCTGCAGTGGCTTTGGAGAGCTTCATAATGTGGAGCTTTAACCCATTGTGCCACCAGGGAGAGCCCGTATTTCGCATTTTTAAAAAATGAAAAGGTAAAAACGTTTTTAGGAGAATTCATTTCTCTCCTTACTTTCTAAATCCATCATGTCTAATATGTGCTAGCTACAAAGTGAGCAGCTAATTGTCATCAATTTTCAGGAGGAATTGAGTTTTACCAGCCAAGGCAGCCACAGTGCACAAAAGCCCCAACTCTGACTCTGGCTTTTAGCATCCATGAAGCAGCTTTCCAACAGAATGAAACATAGCACCAGTAAAGATCAATGCTCAGGAAAGATGTTTGGGTTGGTTCGTTCATTCGTTCATTTGTTTGTTTGTTTTAACAGAAGTTCTAGCCCTGTATAAAGGACACCTGGAGTCAAAAAATTATGATGAGAAAATGGACTGGGCCAAAATCCAGAGTTCAGGGCACTGTCAGACTGAAGAAGACAAAAGACGGCTCAAAGAGAAGAAGTAGATGAAAATAAGATTACTCCTGCCTACGTGGTAATTTTTCACAGGTAAATTTTAATGATTAAGAAATATAAGTTTAATTTAAACAAAATGTATGTATGAAAATGAAAATCTGCAATATCACCAGTAAATAAAAATGCACTATACAAAACTATACAAAATGGAAGCCAATACAGTTTTCTACACTATACAACATGCAAGGCAATAAAGTTTTCTAGCCTAAATTAAATTTAAACATACAATACTTTGGAAACAAATGCTTGTTAAGGGAAAGACTTACTTTGTGGGCTGAGCTGGTTCCTTTTAAAAAGTTAAGTTCCTGTCTTTCCCAAATTAAGTAATTTGTTTGAAAACTTTAAGGTTATACATCAAAAAGCAATGGTTATCCTCTAATTGGTCTAATTATTTAAACATATACCAATATAACTGGTCGGATTAGGCTTTAAGTAAGGTAATACATTCTATTTATTTGGTTATTTTCAAAAGAGTATCTCTTTTACCTTATGCTTCTGTAATAAGAAATCTCAAGCATCTTAGGACTGTTGCTACTTTAAAAAGTTGTATGTTATTCAGAGCCTTCCCTGGTGGCGCAGCAGGTTAAAGCACAGCACTAACGAAGCTAAAGCCACTTCAGCACAAGTTCGATCCCCGCCCCGGAGGTGACCCACATGACGAGGAAGACCTCTCCTGACCCACCTACTGCTCCCTTCAGAAGTGTATTCCAGTCAGTCTGCCTGTTCTGCTCCCCACTCTGTCTCTAGTGAATCCTCTCACCACCCCTCACCTCTGGCCTATACCCCAGCACTGTATGCAAAAAAAAAAAAAAAAAAAGTTGTATGTTATTCTATCTTAAATGCACGTATATGACAATATCTAGAAAATACATTCAGTTCATGGATAATCTGTTTTTCCTTGAAGAATAAAAGTCACACAATAAGGGACTAACATATTCCAAATAAGAAAAGATATCAGAATTAGTGAACGGCACTTACGAAACAAATTTTCCTACTTCCACTTGCAGTATTGGATCTCGCAGATGCACTTCTAAAAGCAAATCTTCAGCTTGAGCTCTATCTCCTGTCTTTTCAGGGTGGGGGTTAAAGATTCTTAGGTATCCTGAAAAGCTACCCACGATTATCTTATCTGTAGAGAGATTGTTTAAAAAAGATATAGGAAGAGACAAACATTAGTAAGAAAATTTCTTTGTAAATCAACTTTCTAGTGTTTAAAAGAGAAAGCTAAAAATTAAAAGAATCCTGTCTTGCTTTATATACAAAGATCATTCCACCTCAGAAGATGTAGTTAAAGTCAACTACTGAAATAACTAATAGTTTTATAGCACCTATCTACAAAAGCATTACCGTTTTTTTGTAATATAAAAGTATTACATTTTTCCTGTTTTGATTTGGTATCAGCAGTTACATTTAACTCAGTCAAAGCAAGCCCTTTTTTCAAAGCACTAATATAAGGTCCTAAACTGATATCATCATAGAGTATCAATTTTACAGCTGTTTCTGGTGGTCAAAAACACTGTATTAAAAAGGACTCTTAGGCCCTCCCTGGTGGCGCAGTGGGTTAAAGCACAGCATTAAGAAGCTAAGACCACTTCTACATGAGTTCGATTCCCGCCTGCCCGGGAGGTGACCACATGGCGTGGCGGACCTCTCCTGACCCGCCCGCTGCTCCCCTCAGCAGTGTACTTCGTCGGTCTGCCTGTTCTGCTCCCAACTCTGTCTCTGGTGAAGCCTCTTGCCGCCCCTGAGCCTCTGGCCTGTACCCCAGTTCTGTATGTACAAATAAATAAATCTTTAAAAAAAAAAAAAAAAAAGGACTCTTAGGCTTCACTACAGAGTGTTCTGATTAACAAGTCAAGTCTTAGGTGCAAGAGGAAGAAATGGTAGGAGAGATGTTTTGGTTGAACAATGACCCCTAAAACATCATGTTGAAGTACTAACCTCCATACTTGTGACTGTGTTTACAAACAGGCTTTGCAGATATAAGCAAGTTAACATGAGATCACACTCAAGTTGGTGTGAAATAGGACAGAATAGTATCCTTAGAAGAAAAAACAAAGACAGTGGAGGAGAATGCCATGTGAAGACACAGAAACATGGGGAAGTGAATGTGTGAAAGCAGAGGCAGAGATAAGTATACAGACAGAAGAATACCAGCTACCACCAACAGTTAAAAGTAGCAAAGAAGAGTCCTCCCTGGTGGTGCAATGGGTTAGGATGCAGCACTGCAAGCTAGCGCAGCCACTTCAGTGCGAGTTTGATCCCCGGCCTGGGAGCTGACCCACATGGAGCAGTGTGGGTCAGCTCCTGTCTCGCCCACTGTTTCCCCCAGTAGTGTACTTGGTTGATCTGCCTGTCCTGCTCCCCACTCTGTCTCTGGTAAATCCTCTCATCACCCTGTACCTCTGGCTTGCACCTCAGTTCTGTATACACAAATAAATAAACCTTAAAAAAAAAAGTGGCAAAGAAGGATCCCAGAGGCTTCAGGTTGTCTTGCCAACCCCTCCATTTTGAACTGATAGTCACCAGAACTGTGAGAGAATAAATTTCTGTTGTTTTAAGTCACAATTTGTGGTTCTTTGTTATGGCAATGCTAGAAAAACTAATATATTGGTTATCGGTTTTAAAATCAACTGATAGGTATATTAACCTTTTCCCATCTACTAAAAAAACAAACAAAAAAAAAGAATTCTATCTATTTATTTACTGAGAGATTATTATGTGCCAAGCAACAGCAACAGTGCAAGTAGCTTATATGTACTGCCTCATTAAGTCCTCAGAATTATTCTAGGAGAGAGGTGGAAATTTCAATCCTGATTAAATGTAGGTCATAAGGGATCAGTCTTAAATGAAACAGTGGTTGCGGCAGGCAGGTCCACAAAGTCTCTGGAGCCTGCCAATTCTTAGTCACCTTAAAGATGGTCCAGTATAGGCCCTCCCTGGTGGCACAATGGGTTAAAACACAGCACTATGAAGCTAGAGACTACTGCTTCAGCACGAGTTCAATCCCAGGCCAGGAAGGTGATCCACATGGTGCAGCAGACTTCTGCTACCTTCTAGTGAATCCCCTCACCACCGCTGGCCTGTACCCTAGTTCTGTATGCATAAATAAATAAATCTGAAAAAAAGGGGAAAAAAAGGGTTGGATTGGGGCCCTCCCTGGTGGCACAATGGGTTAGGATGCAGCACTACAAACTAGCCACAGCCACTTCAGTGCAAGTTCAATTCCCGTCCCGGAGGTGATCCACATGGCACAGCAGACCTCTCCTGACCCACCCACTGCTCCCTTCATCAATGTACCTTGGTGATCTGCCTGTTCTGCTTCTCACTCTGTCCCTGGTAAAGCCTCTTACTGCCCCTGCACCTCTGGCTTGTACCCCAGTTCTGTATGCATAAATAAACAAATTTTTTTTAAAAGAAGTATATAAATAAATGACTGTCCTCTCTAAAACAAAGTTTAAAAAAAAAAGAAAAAAGGATTGGTCAGCTCAACTTTTCCTTCTTTTGGGAGGGGAACTATGCCACTCTCATTCCAATTTCTTTTTTATTTGTATCTGTTGTTTCCTATCACCTGGGGTTGCGAAGTGAGATAGAGATAGAGGTGGGGGCACCAAATCCTAAAGGAATACTTGGAAATTTGTTCTCAAGGTGCGGTCACAACTCCCTCACTCTCTCACTCTTCTTTCTCCAATTTCTCTGTAAATAAACACTTTCATTAAATTTGTTGTTATTTCTCAGGGTCAAGTCCACATGACAACAATTTTTAATTCTTATTATCAAAATGTGTATACTATATGATTATAAAATAGAAAACAGGCCGATTATAGTAACCTAATGTCAGGTAATAGTCTCTGACAGATTTCAAGCTACGATTAATATGAGATTCCCAGAAATAAAATTAATAGGCAACTCATTAGATCTTCCCCTTCCCACTCCCCAGAAGTTCATTTATTTTCTTACTGCTGAGTGGTATACAGTTATAAAAGTATACCATAATGTGTTTATCATATTAAGACCTTTTTGGAAGTTTATAAACAAAACTTCTAAGGGGGAAAGGTGAAGGGGCAGTGATACGGGGACATAGGGAATGAAGGGAACAGTTTCCAATTTAAAAAAAAAATTGAACTGAATTGCTCTACTTTTTTTTTTTTTTTTTAAGATTTATTTGTGCATACAGAACTGGGATACAGGCCTGCGGTGCAGGGGCGGTGAGAAGATTCACCAGAGACAGTGTGGGAAGCAGAACAGGCAGATCCACTAAGTACACTGTTGAGGGGAGCAGAGGGAAGGTCAGGAGAGGTCGGCCACGCCATGTGGTCACCTCTGGGGCAAGCGGGAATCAAACTGGGAATCGAACTATGCGGAAGTGGCTTAAGCCTCTTAGTGCTGTGCTTTAACCCGCTGCGCCACCAGGAAGGGCCGAATTGCACTACTTTTTAACGTAAGTAGTACTATCTTTTAAAAAGTCTATCTTGAGTTAACAAAATCAGGAATCCTAAATAAATGTATGGTATCCAATTTCAACAAGGATCTTGAGATTACCAAGGAATCCTGCTTATATATATGGAATCTGCTTCATCTAAAACAAATACAAGGGCCCTTCCTGGTGGTGCAGCAGGTTAAAGCACAGCACTATGAAGCTATGCACAGCCCACTGCAGCACCAGTTTAATGCCCAGCCAAGGAAGTGACCCACATGGTGCAACAGACCTCTCCTGTCTGACCCTCTGCTCCCCTCAGCAGTGTATTTCAGTACAACTGCCTATTCTGTTCCTCACTCTGTCTCCGGTGAATCCTCTAACCCCCTGCACCTCTGGCTTGTATCCCAGTTCTTAGGTGCACAAATAAACAAATCTTTTTAAAAAAAAAATTTTTTTTTTTCAAGATGCCCCACCATCCTTTTACTCTCTGATTACCTCAAAATAGGTGGCAAGTGACATTACTGTTTCAACTTCTATCTGACCTCCAACTTTTCTCCATCTCCATTCTAACCATCTTGCCTTTGTGTGAAACAAGTTCTCACACCTCTTTAATTCCATCTCATTCCATCTGAGCAGCTGATCTCTCACTATGTTTTGGAACTTGCTCTATCAACTATATCCTCTGTGTTACACACTGAGTTTTGCCTACTTCTCTTTATCCTACATCGTGCTCAGTCATGCTCCTCATTTCTTTCCCTTACAGCTAAGTTTCTTTAAAGGTCATAGACAGCCATTCTTCCCACCTGCCCACCCCTTCAAAGTCATTGCAAATCTACATTTTGTTATCATTATGCCCACACTCAGCCACCCTCACCAAGAACAATAATGAACCATTTGCTGCTAAATGACATGGAAACATTTCTGTCCTCATGTCACCAAAACTTGCCTCTCAAGCAGTAGCCCAACTGGTCCTCCTGACTCTGCCTGCCCTTCTTAGAATCCACTAACTACTCTTCCATAGTCTGCCTCCTTTAATGCTCACCGCCTCCAAGTTATTATCCTGAGTTCCTTCCCTCTTTTTGAAGGCACTGTAATTCCCTGTGCATGTTCACACATTCTCAGGGCTTCAAATGCAACCAGCACATCTGCCACAACTCTTTCTACCAGACATTTCTGCCTCAGTATGGCATGTTTCAAACTGTTCTCATTAGCCTACTATTTCATAATATCAACAGCAATAATTTTTAAACTTTAATTTGCCACCATTCATTGTGGAGTTTATCAAAAATGCCTAACACCTCTCCAATCCACCTACCACATAGAATAAGATCTCTAGCATCTTCTATAGTTGGGACAGAAAATCTTCATATATAATAACAACCTTTGTGACATTATGATGCACCCCAGTGAGGAGCTCTGTGAACATGAAGAGTGAACTGTGTGCTACTTTTTAGTCAGTACATAGTTTCCAACCAGGCTGAGATTTAGCTAGTGTGGACAGAAGTGGGTTTGAAATCTTTGCCTAGTTGGTATTTCCAGGATGAGTCTGGTATGAGCATAGTATGTTGCCAAATAATAGGGAAAACATAACTTTTAACAAAAAACTGGGAGGAAGCAAGGTGGATAAACATTCAGGAGCAGCTCAAGGACACCCTTGGAATAGAAGGCCTTCCTATCTCCTGTTGGTGAAGAAGAGGACCGAGATTTTTGTTAGAAATAATTTAGAAGGTGAAGAGTACAGCATAGTGCCTCCCACTCTTCTTTGCCAATGTCATTGTCTTTCACTTGGTCCCCAGATTCTAGTGTTTTCAAAATAAGCAAGAGAAATAGAAAAAAGAAAAATGTAAGGGAACATGGCTATATATCACTAAAATCAAATATAAATTTCAAATAACTAAAATGTTCTCAAGATCTATTTTAAAGACTTGGAGATGCAAAGAGGAACAAGTAATATAAAAATTAGATATAATGTTTCTATATCATAAAATGAAAATGAAAGCACTATCTCATTTAACAATTGTTTTCTATCAATGAATAGGAATAAATAATTCATATTTTTTCTGGTATGAATGGCTTCAGATTTCATTTTAAAAGAATATAAATCTTGTAATTATTTCTTTAAAAAAGTTTCAAAATTCTAAATATTTTGCTCTATCCTCCTTCCAAGAAACCTAATTTTGCAACAAATCAAGTGACACCTTTTTTTTTCCTGAATATTAGCAAATACTATCACAGGGTCAATACAAGGCAGCAAAACACAAACAAGAAAATAAAAGAAACGGATTTATTAGCCCATTACCTATATTTGACTTATAAGAAAAAGTACCTTCAAAATTAGGCCATAATACAACTGAGATGAAAAAATACACAAAATGATGTAAAAACAATTATATTATTTTTTAAAATTAGGGCATAATTATTACAGTTCACTTAAGTTCTATGCAGTCCACATTTGTAAAGATACCGTTTTATTTCACTTCTGTAAAGCATTGCTCCAAGATCGATGGCCATAAGTTGCTTACCTAGTCCATCTCCAGTATTGTCAACATCAGCCAAACACAAACAACCTTGATCAAATTCTTCTTTTTCTCCCAAAACAGTAGACCACCAATCACGGGCTTTAAATAAAGACATTTTCGCTCACTCTAAAAAGAAAGCATTTGTTTATAGTAAAAATTCAATTCACACCAAAAAATCTACTTCAGACCATGAATTATAAATAAGACATAGCAAGTCAAACTTAGGCCACTTTTAGAAAACTATTTCTGCACAGAGATCTGAAAAACATGGCACTAAACAGACCAAGAAAAGGAAACTTTTTTATGGTAAGAGCATTGAAACAAAAAGTCAGAAAGTCACTGTGTCAGACATCAATTGGGAAAGTGTGCAACACCACCACGCTGGGCCTCCCCGGTGGCACAAGGGATTAAGTTTCAGCACTATGACGCTATCTGCAGCACCAGTTGGGTCCCTGGCCAGAGAGCTGACCCACATGGTACAGCAGACCTCTACCTCTCCTGTCTCACCCACTGCTCCCCTCAGCAGTGTATTTCAGTAGATCCACATGTTCTCCCCGCTTTGTCTCTAGTGAATCCTCTCACACCCCCTGCACCTCTGGCCTACACAAAATAAGTCTTTAAACATACACACACATCTGCATTCTGCAATAACTCCAAAATACCATGAGCAGAATATGCACATCTAAAGAAGATTATGTAATTAAGAGGCTAAGCTCCTAAAGATGTTCATAGTTTCAGTGTGGAAATTTCAATAAAAGACACAAAAAGCAAAAAAGAATCGGAAAGGGAATCCAACAGAGTGGGTTCCCTTTCTGACCACATATATCAACAATGTGATCTTAGAGGAATCCCTCACCCTCCAGTCTTCCAATTGTTCTGGAGGATTGGGGGGATAAAATGACCTACCATTTGTGTGTTTGTTTTATTTTATATATATGTTTACATCTTTCTTCCTTTCGTACCATGTATGCTTTCTCCTCTCAGGTGTAGAATAATCTAACATTTGTAACTGCTTAGCCCAATGTCCAAACCACAGGAAGCACTCACTGTCACATAAATATCAGTAGTAGTAGTAGTAACAGTGATGGTATGGTGGAGAGTGTTCTGAACAAGATAATACTGCAAATGCCAGTTTGTACCCCAGTTCTTGTATGCATACATAAATAAATCTTTAAGAACTTAATTAGACTATAAAATTATATCAAATAGGAACAAAAACTGGTTCTGTATGCATGCAGGTGCAGGGAGTGAGAGGATTCAGCAGAGACAGAATGGGAAACAGAACATGTGGATTTACTGAAATACACTGCTGAGCGGAGCAGCTGGCCAGACAGGAGAGGTCTGCCTTACCATGTGTGTCACTCCCCTGCTGAGGATTGAAGTCTTGCTGAAGTGAACTCTTGCTGAACAGGTTTCAGCCAGCTTCTTTGTGCGGTGCTTTAACCCCTTGCTGCGCCACCAGGGAAGGCCTATGTGTTTCAGTAAATTGTTTGAATATCTGAAAGTCTTTATTCTGAAGGATAAGACTTTGTTAAATACATCAAAGATATAAAACTTTTGAAGTCACTGTATACTACTGATATTAAGTTCTTTTCCCTTCGATGAATATTTTCACCAAGAAGTTGAGCCAAAAACATAAATATGCAGCTATAATTTTAAAACAATTACACAAAATGAAAACTTCAATAACAATAACCTTAGGAATTATTTGTAATTTAAAATTTTCTTTTTTAATTCTTCTAAATAATGCTTAGGTCAAAGAAAATATGAGCCATCATTCTCTTACTGTATGTCTAACAAATTAGGAAATCTCTCCTCCTCTCAATGCTGGCAGAGGTTAGTTAAGACCCACAATTTGCCCTCCAGTATCTTCAAGGTTTGTATGTATGTTTGTAAGATGTGTGCATGTGTGAGATATGGTTTTATTTTTAAGTTAATCTGAGGTGGCAAATAATAAAAGGAAAAGTCTCAATTTTTAGGAAATTGGAGCAATTGCAGGACTTGATTGGGGAAAGGGTATGGCGTGATAAAATCAGTTCAATCCATCTAAACTGCTGTGGTCTGCAAAGTCTAAAGAGAAGGGAAAGCAATAATCCTATTGCAAGAAGGAATTAGGGAGTATTAGCATACGCATCCTCGTTAGGCCATTGGCTGAGAACTGCTGGATTACCCACAGGACCTGTTGAGGAGTCTCAGGAGGATACTGAGCGCCACGTGACATCTCTGGATGGAATCTTTAAAAATTCTTATCACCCTTTCTTAAAAATGTTCACAGGATCGTACATACATTATTCTGGTAGTTGTGTTTGGTCTCGTTTTGATTTGTTTTTGATGCAAACACCCCTCCTATGAAATCGACAGCTCTCGACCCCCAAACATTTACATGGCACCAATCTCGCCCACAAAATAAAACACAGAAAGGGCATTCATGCACCAGCTATTTAGTTCCACACCTATTTTCTTACCTGATGCTGGATCAGGTGAGTCCGGCCCCACCTTTCTTTCTTCCAACTCTTTCAAAAGATGTCCTTTTAGAGCGCCTGCCAGGGTCCCAGGGCTGAAGCAACAAGGACAAGAAGGAAGGGTGCAGAAAAAAACCAACCCCTGGCTTCACAACCCCACACTTCTCCTGCTCCGATTTGTTCCAAGCCCCAGGCAACGACAAAGCCTCACCAGGTAGCACAAACGGCTCCACGGAGTTGGAGCGACCCCCGCAAGGAGGTTCCCAGCATCGCTCCTCGGTCACCCCCGGAGATAAGCAGGGGAAACCTCATCAATCCGTTGGAAGGGGCCAAACAATCGAGAACGACGGCAAGTCCTACTGCTCACAAAAAGGAGGAAATGATGAAGGAGGCAGTGAGTGGAATGTAGCAGAAAAGGGATAGCAGCGGCGGAAGGGACACCTCCCCACTCCAGCCTAACTCCAAGCCATCTTCGCCCTGTTGTCATAGCACTTTACAACGAACGCTACTGCGCAAGTCACAACCGCACCGCTACGCCTTCTGGGGATTGTAGTCCGAGTGTTTTGAGCAGGAGGGCTGACGGAAAAGCGTTTTCTCAGTGGGCGGCGGGTGAAATCAAATTTCTGCTGGGCAGAGCGGGAACTTGTAGCTGACTCGTCCTTACTAGAAAAGAGAAAGTGACACCATTCTCTTTTTTTGTCTTTGGGCAGTTCCTCGCACACCATTATCTGAGAAGACCTGCGCTCCCCCAGCGCTGACTCAGGACACGCCTCTCGCCGCCTGCGGATGAGGCTTTCCGGGCGGGACTTGCGGGCTTCACCGCCCGGAGCTCAGTGGCCAGGGCAGCCTAGATTTTCTGGCTCACAGGCTTGTGGCGTGAGAGTGGGCGCCAGTGTGCGCCCTCTAGTAGCCGTGTAGAGGGCAGTTTTGCTTAGTGAAGCCTGGGTAGCATGCAGAGCATGAGCTACACGCAGAGCATGAGCTACACGGGATTCCCAACAATTCCTCTTTTAACTTCCCTACCCTACTGAACTAGAAAAGACTAAACAGATATCAGACGAATTCATTTGTAGAGATTTTTGAATTTTCACACTCACCCCTATTGTTTTGGTACAATCTATTGTGTGTCTAATCTGTATTGTTACATTTAAAAGATTATTTTTTCTTAAAACATTTTTATTATTAACAATGCTACAATTTAAAGTAAGATAAACATCCCTAATAATACCACCCTAAAACAATGATAGATTTTGGTTTTTTTAATATTTGATCTTCCAGTTTGCACTTATCAATTTTTTAGATTTTTCAATCACCTGTATGTATTCTGTTAACCAAGTTTTTTATGTCTATCCCAGTATTAATGTGGATTTATGATAATTAATCACTATAGTATTCCCTCAGGATATGGTCTATATTTATTCAATCATCCTCCAAATGTTAGATTTCCAATTTATAAATAACTACTGTAATAAAAATCTCTGTGCAGTTTTTTTCCTGTAACTTACCCTAAAAGATGTGAATATTAGGTGAAAATTGATCAATATCCTCATTCCAAGTAATATGTCACCAATAGTGTATAAATGTATTAACAATTTCACCATGCGGCCATTTGTGGAATAATCATTTAACAAGTGTGAGACGCTATATAAATAACACATTAGTTTGCATATCTTTGAAGCATGAGATTGCATATTCTTCCATAGGATGTTATGTTAATACTAAATAGAAAGGAAATAAAGGATGTTAGTAAGGAAAATCCTTTGGGTTCTAAGGAGGTAGAGGGGACAATGTTGTTCCCTTGGTTCACATGCCCAGCACTTCCTCGAGGTCTCCTGATAACTGCTTTAAAACAAACCACTAGCCTGAAATAATGAGCAGTTTACTAACTCTCATGATTTCTGTGTATCAGGAATAACCAAAAGCTTTAATTTAAGCTCTCTCATATCATGTCATTCAGCTAGACTGGAGCAGACAAGGTATGAAAGATGGTAATCCCTCTGGAGCATCTTTATTCTTAGGGCCTGGTCCAAGTTCTTCCTCCTCACGAGTTAGTTCAATGCATGCCAGTTGAACCGTTTATATTGCCTCTGAAAACTTCAGGAGGTAATACTTCAAAAGAACCAGGCAGAAGTCCTATGAACTTTGCTGACCTCTCCTGAGAAAGTATGCAACGTCACTTACCCTACTTTCTACTACTTACAGACAGATCCCATCAACTTGCCCATTTAAAGGCAAGTGGCATGGATGGCCACTCCCTCTTCTCCAGGATCAGCATCAAGGTCAAATTGTAGAACAAGTACTATGGCAGTTAACTATTTCAGCCATTTTGAAAAACACAACTATCCGCCTCAATAACAAAAGTCACAAGAGACTAGCTTATAAAACAGTCAATTTATAAATTTGTAGTAGGACACTTCCAGTGACCCTGATACTCAGATCCCACCAAAACATCTGCTCGCCATCAACATCTGGTATGAAATGGACTTAAGAATGCTGCTGGTTGGGTGACTTGGTAATGGGAAACCCGCGGGGATTACAATTGAGATGGGAAAAAAAATGTATAAAATGATGTAAAAATAAACTTTTGTAATAAAAAAAATCACAGAAAAAGAAAAAAGAATGCGGCTGGTTGAACATGGAATCAGAGTGCAGGGACACGGCCATTCTTAAAGCTACTTCCTTTAACAGGCCAAGTCTGGTGAATTTCACCCCTCTCCGCAAAGTGCGTATATTTCTAACATGGGTCTCTAAGGGATAACGCGTGAGGACGCACCCCATCGTTTTCCTTGTTTCTCCTTTTCTAGATTGTGCAAGTCAACTTCCTTCTGTAACAACTTCACTACAGCTTTGGCTTCCAACCCCATCTTCCAGAAACTATATCCTTCTTTTTAACTGGGTTTGGAAGGGCTCTCAGATTCCCAAGGCGACGTCCCCGCGCCTGGGCTTCGAGCCGCCGCCAGGGGGCGCGCTCCGACGCCGGGCCCGGCCGTCCTGGCAAAGGGGTCCCGGCGCTTCGGGCGCCAACTCCTGCTGCGCGGCGTTGAGGCCGTCGGATCGGCCTATCGGGAAGCCGAGCCCGAGCAGTCTCGGCGGGAGCCGGGGCTCGGCGCAGGAGGTGCGCTGGCGGCGGCGGAAGAGGGCGCTGTGCGGCCGGGTAGGAACGCAGCGGCGCGGCACGTCGCGGCC